TATTCTATTCTATTCTATTCTATTCTATTCTATTCTATTCTATTCTACATGAGAGGATTTTGTAATGATCTGTATCACATGGCAAAGTGGCACATTCCCAAATGCCCCCTCCCCCAAATGAACTTGATATGACACTAAACTCAGAATACTATAAAATGTCATTTCTTGAACATATAATCCAGTTTACAGAATCCAGTTTGACCAAACATTGCATCGTCACTAGGGGCTTAGTTCTGAATAGTTAGCCAGTCTCCATTAAATGAAACATTAACTTTCAAAAGCCACCTACTTTCTATTTTTAAAATTCCCACGGAGCATAAACAAGGAGCATATTTATTTATGAGTTTTCTGCGGTGTCTAGCCAGGTTTTCTACTGGACTTTTATTCCAATTTTCCTTTTCTCACCTCTTCTATTGCTCTATTTCATTGCATCATCGTTGTCAAAGTTATTATGACTTCAGCCTGTCAGCAGGACAAGACTGTAGAAAATGTAAACTCGCAGTTGCATTCAGCAGAATAAGGAAGTGCAAACGGAAGGAAACACAATACTTGCGTTCAAAGGAAATAAGGCTTCACAAATGTGCAGATTTTGAACTATGGCTGGGTAGAATTTCCGTACCCACTTTCCATCCTGTTCAGAGGCTACCATCACTTAGTTATGATGCTGTACCAGCAGTACAATAAAGATTTAGTTCCCAGAAGGGCTTAGCTAAGGTTCCTTAGTGGTGAAGATGCTCGCCTCCCACTCAGAAGGCTGGGAGTTCAATATTAGGTAGTGGCAGATATTTCTCTCCCAGGGTACAAAGAAAAAATATCTGCTGTGAACTCCATGTGGTGTCAGGAAGGGCATCCAGCCAGTAAATGCTCAGTTTCATCCAGTCATCCCGACTCTACCCTGAATGAAGGGATTATAGGGTCATAAAAAGAGAGTTAGTCCTTAATTTGTAATGTCTCTGGAAATGTCTCTGGAAAGTTAGTTTCTGATTGGTAACATCATGGAACCACCTTACCAAAACATTAATATTTATGTAACTTGTAAGAAGGAAGATATTATTTACTGCAGGAATGCACAGGCAGTTCTCCACTTATGACCATAGTTGGAACCAGAATTTTGATTGCTAAGTGATCTCATTAAGTGAATTGTGGGACTACCAAATTTTATGACATGCATAAGCGCACTAATGTGCCTACCGTCCCCGTCCTATTGTTTCTTTTATTTTTCTTATATGTACCCATTTCATGTATTCATAACTATGTATATACTTATTATACCTATTATTTTGTAAGCGATTGACAAATCAAACTAAAAAAATAAAATAAAAATTCACCATGGCTATTAAGGGAATCATCATCCTTGTTAAGGGAATCGTGTGGGCGTAAGCAAATCCGGCTTCCCGATTGACTTTGCTTGTTCGATAGCCAGCTGGGAAGGTTGCAAATCACAATCATGTGTTCACAAGATGCTGCAACCATTGTAAATGTGAGCTGGTTGCCAGACACCTGAATTGGGATCATGTAGCTGCAGCAGTGGCACAATAGTTGTAACTGTGAGGGCGAGTTTTAAGTCCCTTTTTCCAAAGCCATCATAAATTTGAATCATTGTTAAACAAAAGGTTTTAAGTTGAAGGTTGCCTTTATATCTGAATGGAAAACACCTTGCAAAGCCGCCTCTAGATTGGGGCTTGTAATATGTGTTGGACTATAACTCTCATCTCCCAATCAAATAGTGTAGTGAGGGATGGTAGAATTTTAAATTCAACATATCTGAAGGACCAATGAGGGCTTGTGTGGAATCTCATTTCTTAACACAGGTATCATTCAGAAGTGAGTCCGGCTCCTCACAGATCCTCATTTTGGTCCTATCACTTCACAATGTGCTCGAATCTTAAAAGGCAGTTTTGCACAAACAAAGTTCATTGTATAGGCACCACTGTCATTAGCTGGGTTGTCAGAACAGGCTAAACCAAACGCAAACAAGCCATGATGGTGGGACATATGCATTTTGACATCACTGCACAAATACCACGAATTATATAATCGTGTTGCTTCCCCCACTCCCATCCGTGTGCACAGTGCGTGTGAAGTACATTGAAGTCAACTCTAGATTTAAGGAAGATTTACGTTCCAGCTTCACCCAGACATATGAGCTTCCTATAAGTATTTCAGCATTTGAGGGGCTGCCGCAAAGAAGAAGAGGTCAAATTATTTTCCAAAGCACCAGAGGGGCAGGACAAGAGATAATGGTTGAAAACTGATCAAAGAGTGAAGCAACCTGGAATTAAGGAGAAACTTCCTAACAGTGAGGAGAATTAACCAGAGAAATAATTTGTCTTCAGAAATTGTGGTGCTCCATCACTGGAGATTTTTAAGAAAAGACTGGACTATCTCTTCTGCGAGGTTCTCCTGCTTGAACAAGGGGCTGGACTAGAAGACCTCCAAGGTCCCATCCAGCTCTATTCTATTTTATAAGTAATTCCAAGTCAAGTTTTTTTTTTTTTTTAGTTCAGCTTGTATAACGTTCTGCAGCCAATATTAGCCTATGTGGGTTTGGATGAAGTGCGTTTCATCCAGCCAAAATCTATTTTACAAGCTGTGATGAGGACTGAAGAAACGATGCTGCGTATTCCACCCCAAGCTCTTCGATAAAACATAAATAATTGTGTTTCTTCAAAACCAATCAACCATGTTGGGTGTCTTCAGTCATCATTGCTATGTTAGCAGACTAGTTTAATTGTCTTCTCCTCTGCCTGGAGCAACTTTGGAATTAAAGTTCTTATCAGGCTCACTAGGCATTGCCATAGGACAATTCCCAGGAAAATTACCTGAGAGAAGATCTTTATCAAGATATCGAAATGGACAAACACTGTAAGGAAAGGTAAGCAAACTTCCAGTTATTTCCAGAATGACAACTCTGTTAATCATTTTCAGCAAACACACATGTACATCACCCGCCTTGTATCAGCCTAAGGACTGCACATTCAATAACTTGTGGGGCAATACGTTTTGTGGGTTGAACTTCATTTCAATCCCAGAAAGTTTAAACCAGGGGTATCCAACCTTGGCAACTTTAAGACCCATGGACTTCAGCTCTGTGGAGTTAAAAAGATCCACAAGTCTTAAAGTTGCCAGGGTTGGACACCCCTGGTTTAAACCATAAAGTGTAAGCCTTGTGCTTTTAACCTGGAGCATTTGAAGGTCTACCTATGTATACACCAAGATGAAATCGGCCATCATTTCTCAAGACTGATCCACCACAACCTGGATTTGACAGACAAATGGATCAATGCCACAAAGCTAACCCTTGCTTTGTGGGGTACATTTCAATTCTCGACAAAATTTTTTGTCACTTTCAAGGTGGGAACATGGAGCAAAGGAATGGAAAGATTAGGTTTGTCCCATCTACTGAGTTGGGATCCATCAAAAGAATAATTAACGTTTTGTGGGAATTGATGATGAAAATGTTATATTAAATCCTAAGGTAAGATTATTCTGTACTGCATCTGCTACCTCCCTTTGGTTGGGCTGCTCATACTTCAGAAATTATTTGGAAGAGGTGCTCTGGACTAGAAGTCTCCAACCTTGGCAACTTTAAGCCTGGAGGACTTCAACGCCCAGCAGAGCTGGCTGGAGAATCCTGGGAGTTGAAGTCCACCAGGCTTAAAGTTGCTAAGGTTGGAGACCCCTGCTCTGGACTTCACCTCACTGCAGCCCTCCCTGTTCATTCAAGTAAATTGGGTTTTTGTTAGGGTTTCTCTCTGTCTGTTCACCTACTCATTAAGGTGAATGCAACTATGAAAGCAGGAAGAGCAGAAAAAATTGTGAGTCCATTAGGTCCCGTACTTCTGAATTCTGTTATTCAATTCTGGAAACACAGTGGATGGCGGATATACAAAATATGATAAATAAGTAGCAGTTAATTGTCCTCTCAGAAGTGATAGCTCAGTCTGGCCTTAGGTTCTGCCTTGGTTGACCTTCCCAATAAGCAACCAAGTCGGAAGATCATTTAAAAGCAGTTTATTGGGGTACCCTGATAAAGTGGGATCTCCCTATGGAAAAAGAGAACCTCAAGACCCATCTTACATTCCTTGTGCTGTCCAGACAGTTTACAGGTAATGGGAATTGAGATAGTTAGTTAGGAATTGAGAGCTGTCCCCTTAAGGGAATGCATCGTGGTAAACGTAGTTAAGGCATCCTGGGAAATGTAGTCCATGCACTATCCTTTTACTATTCTGTCCTTTATAATTACTGACTGAATGTCTAAAGGCAGATAGATAACTCTACAAAGCATCCATACAAGTTTCTTTATTGGTTCATCAGGTATCCTCCTATATAACTCACGGTTACGTTGAGATTCATCTCAATGTCCAAATATTTGCATAGCTGAATTCATAGTGTAAAAGGATTGTGCTCTTTTCATCCCCATAATAAAGGATCAAGGGGATGAGCTGGGATCCAGGCAACAGTGAAGGAATCTCCCCAACCCACCAAGGGTCAATTCAGTGACCAATCGGGATTACAGATGTGACCACATGACATGGACTACATTTCCCAGGATGCCTTAACTACATTTACCATGATGTCCCTTAAGGGGACATCTCTCAATTCCCAACTAACTATCTCAATTCCCATTACCTATAAACTGTAACCCAACAAAGAAAGAGGAAAGTTGGTTGGACAATATAAGAGTAACCCCTCCATGCACAGTAAATCAGCTACAAAGCTTGTCTGAAGTTAAATAACCAGATGCTAGTTGCCACTAAGAAAGCTTTTTCTTGTCAGGAGATAGTCTCCAGGCATCCTTCAGTAAATTATATTTTCAGTTTAGCAATGTTAAAAAGCTACCTAATCAATCCTAATAGAACCATAGGATAAAAGTTTTCCTACATTCCAAACTGTAATGAACCCGAACCTTATTTTAAATGAGAGAAAATAAGTCAAGTTAAAGTACAAAATAACTCTGTTAATTAACAAATTACAAAATCCATGGCATGTGCCCCTCAGAAGGCAGTTGATAAAAAAGGACTGTGGTTTAACAAAGGTTTATTGGGTTGTTAGGTTTTAAGAGACAAGATAAAGATCCTGTGCTACTTTAGTGCAAAAAGCTTAGCTCTCTGGGGGAAAAATGTGTTATTCTTGCTACTGAATTAGCTGGGTGTGTTAGGACAGGAAGAGATCAGTTTTCAAGCAAGGGGCCCACCGAGAACTTGAACAGTCTGGTGGCTTCAGGCAGAATAGCTGCCATGGGAGTTATAATTGTTTAGAATGGACATTTGTTGGAAAGCTAACTTAGTCGTCCAGAAATTCTGCTTTTTGGAAAGCAGGATTTCTGGAAAAGGCAAATTTTGAAATTAAGCTGCCAATACTACACTTCCTAAACATATTTTATTTAAAAAAAAACTTTTAAAACTCACATGGGCCATCCAGTCTGGGTAGACCAAGAGACGTGTCTGGAGGAACGTTGACATCTATACTCTACCCTTACACTACACCATAAATCATTTGTATAAATAAACCTTTGATGCATTTCCTACACAAAACATGTAAATCTGACTAGGACCAGCCTGTACAAGAGAATGGGCTCTTTATGCTTCCTCCTCATGTGGACGTCTGTCTTAGTAAGAGAGCCACATGTTTCTGAGAGAATTAGAGTTTTACTTAGAGGCCTTCATTTCTACTAATCCAGTTACTCTTGATTCCTGCTGACTACAACTCCATGCAATTGTTTTGGCAACATTTTTCAGAAGTGATTTGCTATTGATTTCTCACTAGAGCGAAGGAGTGACAGATCCAAAGGCATCCTGCTAGCTTTGTGCCTAAGGCAGGATCAGAATTTATGCCTAAGGCAGGACATCAACTGTTTCAACTCCTACCCTCAAAATGACGCTACAAAGTGCTGCACACCAGGAACAACTAGACACAAGGACAGTTTTTCCCCGAACGCCATCATTCTGCTAAACAGATAATTCCCTCAACACTGTCCAACTATTTACTAAGTCTGCATTACTAATACTGTTAATCTTCTCTTTACTCCTTATCACTCATCCCCTCCCATTTATGACTGTATTACTATAACCTTGTTGCAACTATTTTTATTGACTGTTTCCTAGTATAATTTGATTGCTTATTGTACTTTTATTAAGTGTTGTACATTATGATTCTTAATGAATGCATCTTTTCTTTTATGTACACTGAGAGCATATGAACCAAGACAAATTCCTTGTGTGTCCTATCACACTTGGCCAATATAGAATTCTATTTTTTTTTAAAAAGAATTCACATTTTTCCTTTTTTAAAAAAAAACCTAATGCATTTAAACCACTACACCAAACAGCTTCTAATTAACGTCTTTACCATTCCTGAAATGGCTCTCATGCAGCTTCTAGGAGTCACTTGGGGTTATGGTTGAGGCACCAAGCTAGAAAACACCCCCACTAGCAGTTAAAAGGAAGAAGCAGCTGCAAGCTCACATCACTCTGAGAAGCAGAGAGCCGAAGACAGAAGCCTGAAGATGATGAATGAGACTTCATCGAAACGTTGCCTAGATACTGCCAATCTTACGCGGGAGAAAACCCGAATAACCAAAGATCCACATACAAATACCCGCGAGAACCTCAGAAAACACACACACACACACACACACACACATATCACATATTCCATTCCAATTCAGTTGTATCATTAATATTCATTAAAATCTGAAATCCGCGACCGTGTGTGGTTTTGATCTGTGCTCACTGCCAGAGCGCCCTGAGCCGGCTGGTTTCGGGGCTAAGCCACCCCATAGAGTGAAGAAAGGGGAGACTGCCAGCAGGGTCGAGGAGAGCAACATCTCCCTTCCCTAGCTGGCCATTACTCCCTTTCCCAAAGGCGGTTGCAGCGGTGGTCAGAAATGGCCACCTCAGAAAAGAACTGAACCGGAAAAGAATGTGCAGGAGGAAGATAAGAAGAGAAACTTTTGATCAACCGGGTTAAACTGAAAAAGCAACAACGTAAGGTACCCTGGAATTTAAATTAAATAACATTGTTCCCAAAGAAGATTTTGAAGCTGCGAAGGAGAGAGAGAAGGGAAAGGATTAGGGTTTTTTTTCTTCCCTTCCTTATACTGACAGCTAAGAGACTTAAGCAAGAAATTGAAAAAAAAATCCACTTTGACATTAATAGTCATTTAAGCTGAAAATAAAAGTCAAAGGGATAATAAAGATTTCTGGATATTTAAAAGTTTTTAAAAGCAGGAAAGGAGAAAAAAAAGAATAAAAGGGCAGGTTCTGGAAAAATGGAGGAGACTGCCTGCAACTAAGGAATGGAACTGTAACTAAAAGGAACTTACAGTGAAATTTTAACAAGATTCCTCAAAGATACATTTTAACTAAAACTTGGCAACAAAATAACAGAAACCTAGGAAGAGAAAGTGGAAAAAAGAAGCAAGAAGAAACAGCTTTGAATTATTTGGACTATTTGGTGATTTTTGGTTTTTGCATCTAGATGACTAAAATTAACCAAAGAACAATTTGAAAGATAAGTATAATATTAGAGAGCAACAGAAGAGGGGATTACAGATGAGAGAGTTAGAAGTAGAGAGACGAGGGAGTAAAAAGGGGAGGGAGAAGAAGAGGGGGAAGAAGGTAAGGAAAAAAAGTTGTAAAAGACAGAAAGAAGAAATAGAGAAACGGGAAAGATATAAGAATTGTAACCATAAGCTTGTTTAGAGATAATGGGTGAAAATTTAATTGTAAAAGGGATTCTGCAAAAGTACATAAGATAGCATTGTTATATTACAAACAGAAATAAATTTAGAAAATATGACTAAAATGATGGATAAAATATTTACTGTAATGTAATGGAATGTTTGTTAATAAATAAATGAATTAAAGTGAATGAGAGAATTAAATGGGAACATTTTAATTATTATTAATGATTTGTAAAAATATATGTGAGAAATATGGGGGGGGGGGGAGAATGAACTATGGAAAGTTTATAAGTGTTCCCAAGGAAGTATGATATTTAATTGAAAAGAAATGTTAAAGATGTTAAGATTTTAATGAATATTAATGATACAATTGAATTGGAATGGAATATGTGATATATATATATGTTTTCTGAGGTTCTCGCGGGTATTTATATGTGGATCTTTGGTTGTTCGGGTTTTCTCCCGCGTAAGATTCGAAGTATCTAGGCAACGTTTCGATGAAGTCTCATTCATCATCTTCAGGCTTCTGTCTCCGGCTCTGTGCTTCTCAGAGTAATGGAGATTGCAGCTGCTTCCTCCTTTTAACTGCCAGTGGGGGTGGGACTTGATTGGGTGGGGGCTTGGCTGTGTTCTGATTGGGTGGGGGTGTGTTCTCATTGGTAGGGGGTTTGGCTGTGTTCTGATTGGTTGGGGGGTTAGTCGTGTTCTGATTGGTTGGAGGCATGTTCTGTTCAGGTGGGGGCTTGGTTGTGCTCAGGTTAGTCTTAGTTGCTGGGGGATTTGAGTTGGTGAGCTGTGATCTTGCTGTTTGGCTTCTAGTTCGTGGTCCTGCTGCATCTTCATAGTGGGTGTCGGTTTGCTTCATGTATGGCTCGGAGGGGTTTGAAGTGGGTAGTGATGCAGCTGCAGTGCAGCTTCTGGTCCGTGGTCGTGTTTCATCTTCTGAGTGGGTGTGAGTCTGTTTTCCACATGGAAGTGTGGTGGTGGCATCTTGTGTGGCTCTCATGGGTGTGGGTCTGGTGTCATTCTTCATGTTAGGTACTCGTCTGTTCATGAGGGCGGGTTTCCAAATGGCTGGAAGGCGGGAGGTGTCATCTTGTTTGTTCATGCTGTGTGGGCGTTTTTCTATCTCTATGGCTTCTCTGATTATTCTGCTGTTGAAGTGTTTGGTTTTGGCGATAGTTCTGGTATTTTTAAAATCAATTTCATGTCCTG